GGAGTGAAGAATAATACTACTATTTTCCATGTGCTGCTTCCCACAACTCACCAACCTTTCCTCCTACTCTATTTAATGCAGTGGGTTATCCTTCCTGAATTGCTGTGGATCTTTCTGACTGAGGGGGTGGGGGTGAAGGTATCAGTTTGAACCAAATATTATGCTTTTACAGCTTTTACTTGATTGCATATAGACAAGAGCCTCTTGGAAATCCTAGAATTGCACAATTTAACCCACTACTGATGATTTGCCATCTTCAAATGTCTTGAGCAGTTTCCTGCTGGCAGTCACTTAGGAAATAACTCATTTGCCTATATTTTCCTTTTAGGAACTCTTTGTTGTATTTTTAGCAAACATTTACAATATATCATTTTGAAGGTAATATTAGTAGCAGGTTTACAAAATGCCTTTGTTGTAGAATTCCAAGCCTATATTAATTTGTTTTATTTATTGTACTTGCAGAATATACAAGAGTGGTGTGTTCATTCTTAGTATGTGGAAAATAACAGTGTAATTCTATGATGCTAAAGTAATGGTATCTTGAAAATGTAGATGAAGGAAAGCCTGGTTCAACTCCTGTTCCTCATTGAATATGAGATTTCCTAGTGACCAGGCTGCATCAGGAACATAGTCAACCAATGTCCGAGTATTCATGGCCAATGTGAAAGCCAGGGCTAGATTATGTTTTTAGGAGAATGTATTGAACTGTATTTTTTGAATTTTATTACACTGTGTTAATTTCTCCGTCTAGATTAATACTGTGTAATGTTTGATTATGCTTTGATTATGGTATAAGTGTACAGTACTTCTCATTTTAGGAAATTAGCACAATGTGCTCACTCTTATCATGGATTTTGCCATATATATTTATGTTTAGCAATTCATATATTACTAATGAGATGTCTAAATATGCCCTGTTTTCCATTGTAGTAAGCAGCATGCATGTACTACCACCATTTTCTCTTTTCCTCTAAGATAGCTAGCTCTATATGTTACAATTCAGGAGATTTTAGGAAATGGCGTTTATTTTCTTTATCACATTGAATAAATCATCCTTGGCTAGATATTACTGACAGTCTATTTATGAATCTCTTAGTAGTTCAAATGCTCAGACATTGTTTTAAATGTATTGATGTATTTACATTATCAAATGAGACATTGATGTTAGCAGAAATGGTTGGCTGTACACCTTAAAAAGAAAAACAGTTTCAGATATTTTGCTGTGTATTTTAGGCTTAGGCCACTTGCTTATACACAATCAAGTTTAATTTCAGGACAAAGCTGCAGGATGATTTATAGTATTAAAAGAATCTATAGAAAAGAAAAAACATTCAACTTGCTATGTGAGATTTAACTGGGTTTGGGAGGGAGGGAGAGTGCAGGTGCTAAGCTAAATGGCTGAGTTGGAAACAGGAGGAAAAGAAATCAATAGATAACATTAACATGGTAAATATTGCTCACTAAAGGTAACAGAAACATCAAACTTCTGTTAATATGACAGAGTGCAAACAACAAACAAAATAGTTTTGTTTTCTTCAACTAATATCTTATTTTAGAGTGCTTTTGCAGATAGTTCTTTCTCATAGTGTAATGATATTAACACTGTTATTTTTTGTAAAACATTAACATTGGATAAATATGCTTTGCTTTCTGTTAGCATTTCATGTTATTTTCCTTTCAAAAAGAATTATCCAAAACAGGGTAAGTATAAAATAAAGTATACCTGTTACGATAAAAGAGAAATGCATAATCTCAGTATACATAATTTTCTTCCCTACTCTACACAGTTAAATGCCCTTCTTTCCTAGCTCCAAATGATGTGTTCAGTGACATACACAGAAGGCTTCCTCAATTATGTTTTCCCAGTACTTCATGTGTAAATTGCAACTGCCAAGCATAGAGGGCTTTGCTGAGTTCACGTGTTTATTCCTAACCTTTGTCCTTTCTCCGTTGTATTTGTGTATTTGTCACAATAGGGCAAAAAAGGTGGGCAGACCAGAGCAGTTTATGTTGAGGAAATCATGTGTGCATAGGAAGTTTAGTTCCTTTTAGCTCACTACTGCATCTGCATATTAGGTAAAATCATACACATTGTAATACCTGATAAGGGATGCCCCTTCTCTTCTCAAAATTGATCCCTAGAGTCTTACATTTTATTAAGTCTTATATGCCGAAATCCTGTTGTGTAGCTCCACCTGTTCAACTTGAAGTTGTGCAAGTGGTTGCAAAATTTGCACAGAGATGGAAGTCATTTCCAGTAACAGTTCTGCAGGCATAGTTGTGCAGCTAATTGTGCAATCAGACATTCAGACTGCTTGGATTTGCCTCCCTGTGAACTTTGACAGGCATGACATAATACTGTCTCAAGTGCAATGGCATTTCAGGTTTTACTTTTGTTAGATTTTATTGAATCTTTGAAGTATTTCTGACTTAAAAAGAAATTGCATGCTGCAATTCAGTATTTCTAGATTCGGTCTGGAAATACTTCCACTTACAAGTTTTCAGCGTCCTGTACAGAGTATTTGTTACTGAAGTTTCCTCATTAGGATTGGATCCATCTGTGTTTCCATGTAACTTTTTGTATTTTATTTAACCCTTCCTGTAGTCCCTACCCTTTCCTTTGCCACCCAGCTATAGTCAGAGTAGCTGTTGCTTGCTGCCTTGCATCACAAGAATACCCATTGCATTCCTGAATGTTTATATAAAAATGGGGAATGATACAAATTACTACATACAACTTTTCATGTATCTTCAGTGGTGGTTTCAAATTGAGTGTATGCTTCATTACATGCAAGCATCAGTTCTAGTTACACACATATAAATAGAACCCATTAGGTAAAGTGCAGTGTGTGAGGTACAGAACTCTTAAGATCTGAGAACTCTGAACATCTCTAAGATTTTCAGTAATCTTAGAGAAAAATCATGTCTGCCAGAGAGCATTTTATCTGTTCAACCTTTAATGGATAGTCCTTTTTAAAAAAAAAAAAATCTTTATTATTTTCCAAAACAAATACATCAGTACAAAACATTACAAAATACTGACTAACAGTCAAAAACACAGTGCGCCCCAATATCCACGGGGTCCCAATTTCCCCTTTCCTTTCACTAATACAAATTCAATAAATCTACCACAAATAGCATAAAAAATATTCAAACTTATTTCCCTTCTTTTCATCTTAAGTTCAGTAGTCAATTTGTCACATACAATAATATGTGCCAATTCCTTCATCACATTTCCAACAGGCCTTGGAATAATCTGAATTTGTTCTTTTCAATTTCACCGGAGTCATGTACCACTTTAAGCTGATTTTGGACAGTCCTGATTCACTGGAGTCCTGATTCAGAAGTTGTGCCTGAATCTGTGTGGTACTAAATAAGCAGTGGAAGTTTGAGAGCTCACGTGAGGCCCACTTCCTATGTCCCCACCTCACCCAGAAGTCAGTAAGTCCTTCACCGTGGCTTAGGGTATTATGTATCAGTAAGACCTTTGCCCTAAAGTTTTCTTGTAACATGAAGGTTCTACTGGCTTCAGATGACCTGAAGGTGTCCTCATATCCCCACTGCCCATTTAGGTATGACATCTAAATAGGGCTCAAGAAGTGGGAATATTAGATTTCTGCCATGTGTTCCTAGCTGAAGAGGTTGTTGTTTATTCCAGAGTAGCCCCAGCCTTTCTCTTATATACTAATTTTATGACTGCACATGCAGATTTCCTCAATTTTCCTGCATTAATTGTACTGTAACTGCATCATTTTTTTAAAAAGGCCTTTGAATCCATTGTTTAAATGGAATCCATTGTTTAAATAGTACATTATAGTAGATTATCTTGTATGAGTGATGTGCTAACCAAAGTATAAAATTTTATGGTTTTATTCATTCACTTTTTTGAAGTTTTAATAACCCAGTACGAGAAAAATCTAGTGTTGAAGTAATGATGTATATTACCGGCAAGATGTGCTGAAAAAGAAGATACAGTAATGTTAAGGAAAGTTGAAAGCAGCGGGGGGGGGGAGGAAAGAAGAGCAAATATGAGATTAATTTACTTGATGGAGGAAGCCACAACCAGTTTGGAAGGCTGGAGCAGTAGGACTTTTGGAGGTCAGTAATTCATAGGGTTGCTGTGGCGGAAATGACTTGATGGCACAAAATAACAAGCTCAATGTAGTGTGCCGTTCCCATTTTTTTCTTTCTTATATCAGGAGCCTTGAATTTAGACAGTGATGAATTTATGCAGAGGTCACAGTTTAGGGCCTTAGACTGATAGACTGTAAATTTAATTCTAAAAAAATAGCAGCAGCAATAATAATAATAGTAGTAGTTGTAAGACAAAACTTGTTAGTATAATATATATTATTTTTGAAATGTGGCAGAGCCTCTTAACTTTGACAAATTCCTTAAGATTCTTTGCAGGTGCTTATGGGGTGGTACATCAGAGAAAGAATGCCACAGAGACCAATTGGATTTCTAATGCCATCTAGTTTAATTTTAGTCCTATAGTAGCTTAAGGCATCAATACATCATGACCCAGTCCTGGATCGAGAACATTATGTGAGAGCATCCAGATAATATCTTTTACTGGAGAAGGCTTACATGCATGGATATACAAGGATACTAATTTGATTCAGACTAAAACAATTAGAAGCACCTTGGATGGAGCTGATCATTCCCCATTAGCTGCCAACTGCCTGTTCTGTCATTAGTAAAATACGAAGGTTGGCTTCTGATTTTGGTTGTCGATATATTAAGGATGAAGTTTCCCAAAATGTACTTCATTTTTCTTTGTTCTTTTTTCCTTTCATACAGGGTGGCTGGTCCTTGTTGCCTTTTTCTGCTGGTCAGCTGTTCACTGTATGACTTGATGTCTTTTGAGCTAGTGAAGCTGTGTTTCATGTGTAGTTCTTTTCCCCCTTCCCAGTTCCTTTGCCATTTAGTTGTGTTGTATAGAACATTGTGTGTGTGTGGTGACTGACTATTTTTTAAAATGTGCCCTCTTTTTCTAGAGCCCAGGATCAATGCCAGTAATGAGGTGATCATTCTTTCCCCTTCACCTGCCATCACACTACAGTGTAACCTCACAACAAGTCCCAGTCCCCTCATCTACAGCTACTGGGTGAAAAATGGTGAAGAGATCTCAGGCACTAGGAGGTTAACAAATACTACAGACCACAGGTAAGCCTTAAAGGAGCAATTGTCGTTCTGTCTGAGAACGGTCCTGTGAGGTTGCAGCTGAGCTAGCTAAGCACAGTGAATCTCTCATCAGTGAAACTAGCATGTTTATAATTTTGAATGCACATTTGGAAACACACGGCATAAGCATTCTGGGTTCAATCCAGACTTAATCATACCTAAAGTAGATGAGGAGTGACTAATTTCTGTCCTGGTAGTTACAAGTGATCTGCTTTATGCATAGCTAAGTCTAGAGCCGGCTGTCACTACAAAGCAGTTATTTATTTGAAATATGTATACCCTGATTTTCTCCTCAGAAGGATCCAAGATAGCTTACAGTATTAAAAGAAACAATATTGAAAGCTAAAAATCCACAAATTATTACAGTATTAAAAAAAGAATTAAACGATACCAGATTAAAAACTACTGGATGAAAACAATTTAAAACTGTTCTAAAATACATTTTTAGAAGAAACTAAAAATAACCTTTGAAGGAATAAGCCTTTATGTTTGTTGGGATGTATACCTTGTGAGCTAAAAATGAGCAGAATAAATTCTGCAAAATGATATTTAAATTTTGTACTGTGACACACATGTATCTTCCCCATCCTACATGGTAGAATTTAAGTTTGGTTCAGAAATGGGTTCAGAACTATCTCTGGAGACAAAAATGTTGAGCCTGTCAACTTTGGACATATCATGAGAGGGTGGGGATCTCTGTAAAAACAATAATGCTGGGAAAGGTGGCAGCTCCAGTCTGGCCCGCCCATCGCCGCTCCAGTCCAGCCTGCCCATCACTGCTGAGTGAGCCGGCGCTCTGGCTCCAGTCACCTAGAACAATGGTAAACAAAACCTGCAAGATCCCAGCGTGGGATCTTGCAAGTTTTGACTGTTACTCTTGAGCTGCAGGCTGCGGAGCCTGCAGCTCAAGAGGCTGGAAGCGATCCTTGCGCAGGTGACATGATGATGCATCACATCGCCTGTGTGGGATAGAAGACAGAGAGGAAAGCCGCAGGGGAATGGAGGACAGGTGAGTTAGCTCAGTCTCGTTTTCTCTCCCCCCCTCCCCCCCGTGGTGAACGAATTTCATTTTCTTTTTAAGTAAAGTTGGTTCGGCCCCCAAACACAGAATTTTCATGTGGCCCCCTATAGAAATTAATGACCCAGCCCTGCCTTAGAGCCAGCCATACTACAACTGTACTGATATCGAGCAGAGCAGAGCAAGCCGCCCAGAGTGGTTGACCAGACCAGATGGGTGGGATATAAATCAAATAAATAAATAAACAAATAAATAGATAAATGTGTGTTTTGTGTTCTGTTATCCGTCACTTTTGGTAGTTTTGTAGGGGAAGGCAAAAACATGGTAAGAACACTGCACCCTCTTCAAGTTTCAGGTTCCATTCTTAACTTTTGTTGGGAAAAGAAGCCCCACTTCAAAATTCATCTAAATTAAGCCAGTAGCAAATTGTAAAAAAACAAAACTCTAGGAAAAATGCTTTTCTGAATGTGTTACGTGTATTTGGGTTTTATGTTTTCCTAAAGATTCTCAACAAAGAACTTCATGTGACATTAAAAGTCTGTATATTAGATTCACTTCCGTGAATCAGAGATGAATGAACTGCTGTTGATGATGGTTGCTTTATCTCCAGTTCCTGGTCCTGTTACTTGTTTACGCGGTGCTTCTCTTCTCTGCAGAATCCCAAAACCTAGAGCAGATGATTCAGGGGAATATCTCTGCGTGTTTGTATTTGTCAGCTCTCCTCCAGCAAATGCCAGTATTGAAGTGAAAGGTATTTATTTTCCTTTTCTCCCCCCCTCCCTCCCCCCTCTCTCTCTCTCATCATTGACTGGTCATATCCTTGTATGCATTAAATAAATTTGAACTTTTTCATGAAGACCTAATTTTTCCAAGCTGCAGTTCCATGTAAGTGTTTTTGTCTTCCTATAGTGGGGGGAGGGGAAAGTTTCCCAACCTACAGGCCGGTTTTTCCCCAATCCAATGCTCCTCCTTTTTTTCACCTCATCAAAATGCACTGCACTCTTGTTGTACTACACTTTCTTCATCTGAGAGCCTTGTCTTTGTCAATTTCATCTCTGTAATGACCTTCATTATTTTAGCTCGGTCTGCTTCCTAGGCTTCCTGTAGATCCCCATTATCTTGGGAATAATCCCACAAGGAAGTTGGATTTTCTTCATATGGCTTTATACCACAGTACACCCCAGTGCATTTCAGGACCCTGTTAAAATGTGGAATTTGGTTCCACAAGTTGCTGTGAAGTTCTGTTGCCTATATGGCTTTCAAGGGGGGGGGGTGTTAGATGAAAAACATAGCTACATACATTACTATTATAATATAATTGTTAATTTGCTGCCTATGGTTGATGGGAAATGCAGTCCAGCAAAGGGCTGTGCTTTCTCCTCTCCTGTTGTTTAATCATAATCCGGAACCTACATAGAGGACTAAATAGACCCATTGAATTTCCTGCCAAATGATGAATAAACACTTAAATAAATCCCACTGAATCAATATTGTATTTGGGACTATTACTTGGATTTAGGCCCCTTGCTGGTTACCAGCTGCTCCCTAAGACCCAGTTCAGGTTGTCAGTGTTTGCCATCAAAGTCCTGAACTTCAAAGGCAGCCCACTTGGCAGGTGAGAGCTTTCTCATCTGTTATTCACAGTGTGGAATATTTCTCCCTTCAGAAGTTCCAGTGAGTTCTCACCGGCACTGCTTTAAAAACTGATATGAAAACACATCTTTTTTAACTGGCTTCTAAAACTGTTTGATATATATTGAAATATTTTGATGATCTTGTTCACAGATCAAGCTTATTTTAATAGTTTTATAGTTTGATCTGTTTTCTGTTTGCTTGTTTTTATTGTCCTTTACAACATTTGTAAGGTCGTTTGAGCACTACTTGTAGTTGGAGGGTGGGATACAAGATAATACCAGCAATAATAATAATAACAAATCCATGGAGAAACCAGCAGGAAAAGTTGAAAGGGAATGAAGCAGTAGTTTCATATAAAATTCAAAGCTGTAATCACTCAGTGTTCATTCATTGCCTTATTCTATTGAGTGTTTTTGCAGAACATGACAAGCGAGCTTTACCATTGTGCTTCATTGTATATTTGATTTTATCAGTCATCTGGCAGCATAATCTGGTGCACATATCTGGTTAATTTTAGCATAGAAACTTCCATCTTGTAGTGCCGCGGTTCCCAGAGTTGGGTAACCCAGGTGTTCTTGGACTGTAACTCCCAGATACCTTAGCCCAGTGGTAAAGGCCTCTGGGAATTGCAGTCGTAAGATCACTTGGGTTACCTAAGATTGGGAACTGCTGTTGTAGTGGAATGGCTGTGGCATATTTGCATAAGGAAACTGGACATCAACAAGAATTGGGTCAGTCCAGCAGAGACTCAGACTGGCTTATCCTGGGTAACGCTCCTGCTCATTTTAAAGTGGTGGCGGAAGTGTGGTCTGTGATCGGTTCCACAAAAAGGTGGAATGTGGCCCCAGATTTGTTGATGTTTCCCCATGCGTGGCTTAAAGAAATATGAATTTAGAGATAAATTGGTAAGACACCTGAATGAAGAGGTTGAAGTTGGACTACACTCTCCTGGCTATTTCCTTTAAGATTACTTAGAAATATTTTTCAGAATTAAGTTTTCCTAATCCTAGAGTTATGGTCATAATATAAGAGACCAAATAATCTATCAGAAGTCATCTGAGCAAGCAATAACCTATTCTCATGTATATTGAGTGTGTGAATGTCTCTTGTACTATAAATCTGTATCAGTTCTAGATTAGAATTTAGGAGTTGTGATTTATAGTACCTGATTTGCTTGCTCAACTTTCTCAGAAGCTTAAAAGAAGGCTAAATCTAATGTTAACACAAACAACTTCCGTCTCTGTTTATCAAACCTTTGTCTCATATCTGAAGCAGAAATATTTAATAGATCCTTAGGCTAGATCATATTCGGAGGGAAATCTTGGTTTGTTGCTCCATCAGTGTTTAGATCAACTGTTGGCCAAAGGCTCAATAGTAGGAAATGAGAGCCCTTAGCTAGCCTCTAGCTTCAACTTGCTGGTTATTGGCAAGCTGTACACTTAAACACAAGCAAATATGGGTTTTACATAGCTTTTCATACTGTTTCATCCTACTGCCTGATAGAAGAACTTTTCAAACTGAGATTTCACAGCACTACCACAAAACTGTGCTAAACAATGATGATTATTGATTATGATGCTCCCAAATTGCATGAATTAACTTGTCTGAGTTTTCTCAATAACATAATTTACATATGTTTTATATGTAAGTTTTCAGACTCACTCATTTCATTTTTCTAACACTGTTACTGGAGTAAAAGTAGGCCAGCATTAACAGTACTGATTTACAGTACCTACTTTCTTCTTGAGTCTGAGGTGTTTGCTGCCATGTGTTAAGCAGTGTTGACAGATAGAGAGGAGAATGTGAGACTGTACCTTAAACTGCTGAACATGATTTCCTCTTCTAATGAAGACAGTGTTAGTCACATTCCCTTAATGTGAACTTCTGTTTTGTCACCTTGCTATACAACCCTCTTCTAATAAAATGGAAAGGGAATTTGCATATGCCACATTGTTTCAAACTTGCACTTTGATCTAGTTGAGACAACATGCTTCTGCACTTAGGCTACCTTAAACTGGCATCTAGGGAAGTACAGTGGTGCCTCGCTTTACGATTGCCCCGCATTACGACAAATCCGTTTAACAACAATCTTTTTGCGATCACAATTGCGATCCCAAAACGATGGTCTGAATGGGGGAATTTCGCTTTGCGATGATCGGCTCCCTGCTTCAGGAACTGATTCTTCGCAAAACGACATTTTTGGAACAGCTGATTGGCGTTTTCAAAATGGCCACTGAGTGATTAAAATGGCTCCCCACTGTGTTTAGGGACGGATTCCTTGCTATACAGGCAGTGAAAATGGCCGCCGTATGGAGGATCTTCGCTGGACGGTGAGTTTTTACCCCATTGGAACGCATTGAATGGGTTTCAATGGGGTTTTTATTTTCGCTTTACGATGTTTTCGCTTAACGGTGATTTTCCTGGAACGGATTATCGTTAAGCGAGGCACCACTGTATAAACAAAATCAATTTCATACATTTTTTTAAACAAGGGATATTATCATAACTAGCATACCAAAACCTGGAACTGACCTGAAGTTTGTTTACTCCTTATTTGACTGGGAGGTAATAAAAATCTACTCTGCTCATTCCACCTAGCTTAGTATATCTAAGTCAGCTAAGGTTAAACATTAGCAAGCATCAGGAATTGGTATTTGAATAATCCTAGGTAGAAAAAAAAGGTAATAGAGATATATTTGGTAAAACCAGAATAGAATACTTAAATACTTGTTCTGTAAATCATTGAGCAAGCTATTCTTCTTTACATGCGTACAAGGACAAGGAGAATAGAATACAGATACTGTCAGGGTATATACCTCCAGGCAAGAGAAATATATGGCTTTTTAAGGTTTTCTTCATATTTTACCTTTATATTCCCATATTGGATAATAATTGCGACTTTATAAGAAACCTGTTTTCTTTTTCTGAAAATGCATGATGTCATTGACACAGGTAGATCTAAAGAACAAAAAATCATAGTAAATGAGACAAACTAACCCTGGGGAATCAGTGGTTCCTACTTTTTGGGTTGCACTGTGACTACATTCAAGTCATCCAAAGCCTCTGGTCTGTTTTTCAGAACTGGAATTGGACTTTGACTGGATTAACATCAGGATCCAGCAGTTGCCTAGCAGGACACGTGTGACATAATTAGCTGCCTAGAAAGCAAATGGCTTTTAGAGATGGTAACTGAAGCATACCAGCCATCTGCTTAAGTGTAGGTTCATCTCAGGTGGTTCATTGAGCTCATATAATCTTTCAAAGTATTACACTGGATGGGACTTGGAAGTGGCCAAGTGAATGACAGTGGCAGCACTTCGCTAAGAATGAGAATGCTAGTATGAGATTTTCAAGGGGTAATGGAATTCTCCTTAGGTGCACTGACTGTATGCTGTCTCTCATTCACATGTAGATGTCAGATCAAAATTGAAATGCCAACATTGTGTTTTAAAACACAACTTGAAGAACTAGTGTCATTCTCTTAAGGCGTAGTGTACACTTATAAAGCACATTAAACAAGTCTCTCAGTGAGTCACTTGTCATTTTATAAGTAACAGCAGTAACAAAACATGAATTTTGGGCTTCCATACTTGTGCTGACACTTTTCAAATAAATAAATGACTGCAGACTAGAATGCTGAGAGAGTCCAAAAGATAGTTGCATATCTCATTCCTGCTGAAATGGCTTTCGCATTAAGCTAGTTCCAGGTTTTTGTTTTGTTGTTGTTGTTTTTTCTTCAGTTTACTTAAAAAAATACTCTGAGTATAAATTCTCACAGAAATACAACCTGGATTTGTACAGGGAAAAGACAATACTAATGTATTTTCACTATTGGGTGCATTTTACTTGTTTGACACTTTATTCTAAAGATGCAGAGGATGTCATGAATAATTTTCCTATATTACAAGAGTTGGGTTTATAAATGTTCTTCCTATCTTGAATGAGTGTCAGGTTTTTTTTAAACAGGACTGCTAACAGGTAGGGTGCTCTGAGGCATGTTTAAGTGATGAGCTATGAAAGGTAGATAGAGAAAAGTCTAGCGTAAGTTGAAGGATGATTCACAAAGGGAGAGACTTGTTTCCTGAACTGTCCATTGCATGCCTGCCCAGATTGGCCAATCAGTCATTTGCCCACTTGCATGACTTAAGCCTAAGAAAGAGGGAAACCACCTAAGCTTTTGCTTTACACACTTTGGGATTTTTTTAACCCAACTTTCCTTCAATAGAAAGTGTTTTGTGGATCCTACTGCCAGAGCAGAACATCTCTTCCTTTCTTGGAAAGCATAGTTTAGCCAGGAAGATTCTGATGAATTTAAACAAGAGCTTATGGGGAGGGAAGAGTTCAGGGCAATTTGCCTATTCGTTTTTATTCAGTGGGAGTTTGTGACTTAAGTACCTGTACATAAATCTGAAAATCCTTCAGAGAGGATGGAATGGATTTTTCAAAACAACGTGATCTTTTCTTCTCTTTATGTGTGTGCTAGCTGCTCCTGACATTATTGGGCACAAGAGAAGCGAGAACAAGAATGAAGGGCAAGAAGCACAGTTGTATTGCAAATCTGTGGGCTACCCACATCCTGATTGGATGTGGTATAAGAAGGTCAATGGGGTTTCTATGGTGAGTATAAGGTGCAGCACGATGAGGTAAGCTGGAACCTCTGGCTGAAATATCTGCTCAAAGGTAAAAGCACATACCATTGTTGAATAAGGAAGCGCGTTCAGTTATTTCTCTTCCCATGGGAAACAAATAGAGATTTGCATCAAGCAGAGGTTTTCCTTGCTCTGCTCCTTGTTCTCTTTTTAAAAAATGAAGATACAACAGAGACCAACTTTGCAGCTTTGCCACACACAAAGTACCTGCCTTGAATCAAATGTCGAATATGTTGCCCCTAAAATAGGCAGCCTTTCATAGGTGGTGTGGCTTATGATGGTTCATTATGACAACTAGACTCTTGGATACCTAGAAAGTGAAATGTTGTTCTAGGTTGTGCATGGTCTTTCACAAGTGTGGTCTTCTGTTTTCTCCTTTGACTAGCTTAACTTTTCTTGGATACCTAGTGTGGTGTAATGGATAAAATAGTGGATTAGGACTCAGAAGGGCCTGGATTCAAATCCCTGCTCAGCCATGGAAACTCTCTGAAGGCGTGGAGTTGATAAAACCACTGCTTAAATATCTCACTTACCTGGAAAGCCCTCTTAGGGTCAATAGAAGTCGGTTCTGACTTGACAGCTGATAACAACAACAAAATCTTTCTTCACTTCCATGCCATCGATATATGGTTGTTCAGATTGGCAACCTCACATTTCACCACACATGGTTTCAAGTTATACATTCAATAGCAAAAGAGTGTCAGTAAGCAGAATTCTTACCTATATTTCTTCTTCCCAAGTCCATGCATGCTGTTGAGGCTACACAGTAGAGAATATCTTTTGTAGATAAGAAACAATTTGTCTCGTGTACAATGTTTGCTTAAATTTCTTGTTTTCGCCTATGGTCATGTTTCCTTCATATCAGGCAATTGACAACTCTACTGGCCGCTTCTTCATCACCAATAAAGAGAACTATACTGAGCTGCTGATTGTGAACCTTCAGATCAATGAGGATCCTGGCACATATGAATGCAATGCAACCAGCCCAATTGGGAACACAGCAGAAGTTACCATCCTACGTGTCCGCAGCCACTTGGCTCCTTTGTGGCCCTTCCTGGGGATTCTGGCAGAGATAATTATTCTTGTTGTTATCATTGTGGTGTATGAGAAGAGGAAGCGGCCAGATGAGGTTCCTGACGGTAAGTATCTTCTAAATTGTTCTGTTTCCAGGGAGACCCAGGTTCTTCCTTTGCTTCAGGAGCATTTTTCAAAACATTAGAGATTTATAAATCAGTAGCTCAGTAATCTACAGTATTTCAGTCTGAAAGATATATATATATATATTTCTTTTTCTAGGTAAAGTATGAGAAGTGTTATTTCAACTTTATAAAACATGGCTTGCAGAAGAAGGGATATGCTGGCTATCTCTGCATTTGCATTTGAGAAAATTATGTTACAGAAAGCAGAGCTTATATTGAAACATGTGGTCTTTACAAAACTGTCCCTTACATCAAGGGTAGAAGGAGACTGGTTTCGTATTATGTAGAATTATAGCATTGCCTTTGTGAAACCATCCTAAGGAGATCAAGTTCGCTTAAAAAGGTAGCATTGGAAAGTCAACTCTGCTCAAACGCAGCTGCCTCTGTTCGCTGTATGTTTTTCTGCCGTGCTGAATTCTTTTCACCTCTATTCCTTTCTCAATATTTACAACATAACTAAGAAGGTTTGTGTATCTCTTGACCAGAAATGCTTGCCAAGCAACTGTTTGCATGAGCAGTATAAGGGCTATTACCTAAACATACCTACAGTTCATTGTAGGGAGAATGCTGTCTTTCATGCTTGCATGTCCTTTAAGGAAATCACCTCAATTTGTAGTTGCAAACCATCCTTCTAAACAAGTCACAAGGCAGGAGTTTAGACTAGAACCCCCAAGACTGGCAGCTTTTGTAGCCAGGGAATTCGTTTTGAAACCCTGTCAAATTGTTGGCTGTTTTGTATAGTATAAGAGCATGGAGGTTCTTATATATTATGACAGTGGTTGCCATATAAGGAGCTAATGTTGAGTGTTTCATGTTAACAATATAGTCCTTGTAAATGGCATCTGTAAGTATGCAGGGACCAATATTGCCTGCAGTAGGTAACCATAGACCAATCTAGAGTAGTCTAATAAGAAAAAGTGACAACATAGATGGAGTCTTAGCAGCAGACAGTGTTTAGTGTTAAGATAACGTAATCAGTTCCATCCTACAGTCAATTTTTTGCACAGCTAACTTGACAAAATGTCAAGATGAATGTTATCTGCTGAAAGGGAAGCTTCTTGGGTAAGTTTTTTTAAAAAAAATATTCAAGCAGAAATTCAAAAACAGAAATTTTCTTTCTTTCAACTACAAATTATTTGTAATATTTGATATGAAACATTCAAGTTGAGTGCTCTGAAGTTAGAAGAGAATATTACCAGAAATATAAAAGTAACTATTAAGAGACTCCCTCCATTTTTATTTTTACTTTTGCTCTTCTTCAAAATGCAAGTAGCTGTAAGTATTACGAGTATGAGAGTCTCTATGTATATTTAAACCCAATCCTTCAGAACAATTTTGAGATGACTGCTTGCTTATGGCTCTGCCTACTAACATGAGAAAATCTTCTCACAAGCCCTTTCCTTTCAGCCAAACCATAGGTGTCAGAAAAGTTTGTGTCCTTTACATATTACAGCATCCTCTGCTGATGGCTTCTCAATAAAGCCTTTATGTTAAGCTCTTCACTGCCTCATAGAGGTCTATGGCCGGACTAGTTGGCTGAAGCTTTCAGTTTGGCATGAAGAGAGTTGTGCATGGCCTTATTTAGAAGGTTCCAGTTACTGTTTGATTGGATTGAGCATTTGCCAGTGCTGTGCTTGGCTCATTTTAATGAACTCTTGAAAAGATGCATGTTCCAGGAATTAAGCGTGTGAAAATGATTGGATATTCCCTATTGTGTTCTCATGTGCTTGAGAACCCAGGAAACCAGGTAAGGAGGTTCTTACTGGATACTGGTGACATTCTGGTTCTTCTGGCCAGATTGCTCACAACTAGGATATTTGCTATATGGTTGCCTTATTCAAAATTTATGCTTCCTTCTTAGTTTCATAAAATTTGTGAAACCTCTAAATGCATGTTCTGAAGATCTTCCACCATTGACCTCTGCCCTTTTAACAATAGGAATAAGTTTGATGTTGCACATAGTCCAGGAATTGAGGGATGTTCCCTTTTTCTTTCTGGGTATGCATGTTTTGTGTTCAATGGTGAGTAGAGGACAAACCATCCAAATGTATTAAGAGAGAGGATACAGAGAAAATTAGGAAGAAGATAGCTTTGCTTAAGTGGATTTAGCAATCCCAACCATGATTAAGATCAAGAAATGCCAAATAAGAGCTTAGATATTGTTGGACTAACTCCCACCAGCCTTAGCTCACATGGCCAGTAGTAAGGAGAGAATTGTAATTCGGTATGTGGGTGCACTTTTCCCATCCCTAGCTCAGTTAAGAGCCTCATGGCACAGTAGTTAAACTGCAGTCCTGCAACCAAACCTCTGCTCACACGCTGGGTTCAGTCCTAGATGCCTGGCTCAAGGCTGACTCAGCCTTCCATCCTTCCAAATTTGGTAAATTGAGTACCCATCTTGTGGGGAGGAGGCAGTGTGTAGCCTGCATAATTAAATTGTAAACTACCCAGAGAGTGCTTTAAGCACTATGGGCAGTATATAATCAGCACACTTTTTAAAAAATTGTACAACTGTATTTAGGGGCAGTGTAATGATGTAGACACATATCTGATACATAAAGTGGTCTGTCCATCACAGTCCAGAGTAGTGGTGTCCTGCTCTGTCATGGTGAACTTCTTCTGTCCCAGTGCTATTGAAACAGATTTCAAGATATTAACTCCCTATGATAATTAAAATGGATTAACTACAATTGTTCAATTTTAATTGATTTGCAGGTCACAATCTAATTGTGCCAGTTTCAGTAAAAAAATTTTTTTTACAGTTCAACCATTTTCTATGGATAGTGCTGTGAACAGTGTGATATACTGCCCCTTGCCCAGGGTGTATATTTGTATTTCCACTTGTATGGTTCATATAGACATAATCTCGTGTCAGAAAGCTCTTCAGTTTTACAGCTCAAGAATGGCTATACCCTGTGTTCATCACCAGAGGTCATAGGGAAGTAGGAACAGGGAACTGTTTCTGATACAGTAAAGCAAAAAGTAGATTATCCTATTAGGCCTGTTCTCATGTTGCTGATATCCTTGTACATAAATATAGATCTGTGCATGCACATCTATATTTGCATGTGGAAATTGCTCCTCAGTGTTGCTGACCTGAACATTTCTGGTGAAGTCTTCTCCACCTCTCTCTTCCCAAGATGATATCCCTTATTGGTACTGTACTTTTATTTCAATTGTAAAATCTCATTCTGAAAAGTAAATTACATCATTGGGAGAGTCTAATGAGACTTTAGAGATATAATTGAACTGACATTGATATGAACATTAAGCATATAGTATTGCATTTTAAAAACTATTTCAGGATGTGCTGCATTTATATTTTTCTAACAGTTCGATAGCTGGCATTGATCTATTATATCGCTTACAGTTAGATCACATAGTATATTTGAAGAACTAAGGTATTGTGGGCTCTCGAGACTTAAATCAGTGATTATTCGCTCTTGGCTTTTCCCCTACCATGCAATTATTTTCCATCCTTACCCCGCTGAATTGTGTTGTCATCTGTGTCCTTGTTGACTTTGCCTTCCAATGACTGAATCAAAAGGAGCATTTATTAAGGTGAATTTCTAAGCAGAGCGCTCCTCATGAGCATTTGGGGAGGAGAAAAGGGAAAGGGAAATGTGTATTATTTTCTGATGTAGATGCCCCCTTCAAAGTTGGTCAAAGTTGGTTATTTGCAGTGAGCAATCTTTGCTCGTTGATATCACATGCACAGAATAATAGATGCGGAATTAGGAAAAATGACTGATTGGTTGTGTGTGTGTTACCTTGGCTCATGTTGTCTGTAGCCCATTCCAGCTTTCCAGATTCATCTTAGTGCAATGAGGAGTGACAAAGTCAAAGTATTGAAAAGGCAACTTCTCTTTACTTTTTAAAATATCTATTATTGTATTATGGAACAAGGTTGCTACATACTATAGATGGAAAATGGTCTTCATCACATCAACTTGTACTATGTTAAAATGTTTTTGTAAATTAGGCCAGTGTAAGTAGAATATTTTCACCCTTCTGGTGATATGTAGGTGGAATGATTGGACTGATCTAATTTCAAATGAAAAGTACCGTCACATATGCATTCTCAGTGCAATTTAAGTTCTTGAGGTTTAGGTGAATACATTGACATTATGATGGCCCAGATTTCCATCTGGGTCTGTTTCTTGTGCAGAAGATGAAGTGTTCCCTGTAGTAAAAGTGTATTATGGTTCTACCTAAACCAGTGACAGCAGAGCAGTGCCCAGTTAACTAGAAAAAATTAATATGCTTAGATCCTTGTGTATATTTTTACCTGTGAAAGTGCTATCCCAGTGTCTTCCATAAATGTTGTTTTAGAAGAGGTAGCAGTGTTAGTCTGTGCTAGCACGTCTGGTAAAAACAAAACAAAAATAATTTTAAAAAGGAAGACAAGTGTTGTGGCACCTTATAGACTAATGGCTGTATTTTAATGTGAGCTTTTGTGGAAACTCACATTAAAACATAGCAGTTTCTCGTTAAGGTGCCACAATGTTTTTATCCACTTAATTTTTTACTTTTTGTTTTGTTTTTGCCTGAAGGAATGAAGTACTTTAGATATATATGATGATGTTTGAAGTCTTTTCTAGTGAGCTAAATTAATGCAGTGACGTATCCATCCTCATCCTCATCCTTCTATTCATGCAAGTTCTATCCATGGTGCCTAAGTAGATTTATCAGTGAGGTGGTGTGGGCAGGATGGAGAGAGAATTTTTCTGTCTGTGGGGAGTACAACCAGACTTTCTTCACATCTGTGCTGGCTACCTGCATCTTGGGCATAAAAAGGCTGCAGTCTTTTGTGCCCAGCTGTTTGCTTTTTCAAAAGGCAGTAAAGGCAATGTTTTCTAATGTACAAAAAGACGTTGGTCGTTCAGTGATGCCAAGTGACAGAAGCAGCCAGCTGCCTCTCTCATAATATGACCCACCTC